TGTACAAGTTTAAAAAGTCGAAACCTGAAAAACGAAACCTTGAGAGGACAACTTGATTTTGGCTCTTGATTTTGCTTCTGAAATGCTACTCGAGTCTCCAAATTAAGAATTCCATGTTTGTGTGGTCAAGTTTAAATTTACAAGACAAAAAAAACCCAGAAAATTCCACTTCAAGGGACAATTGGAATGCAACATCAGCATGGAGACAACCTGATGTCAGTGGTGGATATTTAGAAAAATGTATAATATTGTCATTGTTGTTCATGTGATTAAAAAAATGTAAATATCAAGTATATTGTCTATAATTAAAACAATTAAGACTGACAACAAAAATAGCTGATTAAAGTGGTGTAACAATAGTGTAATCTTCCAAACAAGGGTGTAAAGTATTTCGCTGCTATTGTTGATTTTATGGTATTTTCCGATTTTGTTCAGTTCAACCAACAAATTCCAGGGCACACTTTAGCACGTTATTGACACGTTGCTAAAATACAATGAAATCAAGATAATGCAAAACATACTGACATACGTATTTCTATATCTCCCACCACAACCAAAAACAGTTTGTGTGCCCACCACCAGCAACGTTACACAGGACAAATTCTTGGGTGGTCTTTTTTTTTTTTTTTTTTTTTTTTTAATTCCATCTGACAGTCTCTCACAACCTGACTACTGCTCCCTGCTTAATTTCGCTGCATCGTTTCACCTGCAGTAATGACTTTAACAGACGGGGACTCACTGGCTCAGCACTAATAACCCAAACCACTGTCAGCGACTGGGAGCGGAGCTTTGCCACACCAAAGTTCTTTCATTTAACTGCGCTTTCTTCTTCCTCGCCACCTCACACGAAACGTCTTTAAATGTGCTGATGTACGAACTGTGTGTGTTAGTTAGGTTCTTCTTCAGCAAAAGGAAACTAAATCGACAACAATAGCTGTACCTGTGCATATTTTAAGATGAAAAAAGTTGACAGGAATCTTCACAAAAGCGCAACACAAAACACCATGAAGCACAGTTAATTGCTTGCTTCGGCGTTCGCATTTAAATGCAGCTGGTCTCTTAAAGGGGAGGACTGTGAATTGAAATTGCTATCGGAGTAGAGCTGTTTGTTCATTAAGTGCATTGGTAAGCACATCTGAAAGCTTTGGCTGCATTGAAAATATAATAGTTACATTTTAAGCCTGAGTCTTGTTTAAAATTCTCATCTCGGTTAAATGAGTGTTTATCATCTTGCCAGCTATGTGGAGGGGAACAAAGGCCGGCTTACTTAAATATTCGTAGTGTTGCTTGGGTACAAAGCAGTGATAAGCAGATAATATAACAGCCAACTTGAGACCAATCCAGAATAAATGTGGCTTCAAATCAGACCATGGATAAAATGTTTTTCTACGTACAATTGGCCAATAACCAGTGAGAAGGATTGTCTGATTATTTTTGCTTGGACTAAACAAAACAATTGCGAGATTCACTAATTTCTGGATTTAAAAAATACATAAACACTATTCCCTTGAATGTATTTGTTTTGCCACTGAAAATGCTAAAAAATCTACTTTTATAAACATTTACTCGTTATAACAGTGTTCCCTCATTATTAGATTACTCAGACTTAATTTACATTTTTTTGATTAATTTATGTGTTTGAGTAATCCTGAATTGTTATGCATTTAGGGCTTGAATATTCAGAAAATTTCTGATTTCACCTACCCCCTATCCCACTTCCACCACAACAAAATGTAGATTCCAGGTTATACAAATAAGATTTTAAAATGCTGTGTAGCAAATAAATACATAAATAACTCAATGAAGAAGGTTAAAAGTGTCTTGCCCATGTACACAACAGCAGTATGCAGTGGTTGAGGCAGAGGTGCAAAAATTACTTCCCTGAAATGATTCCCGCACAACAGCTCATAAAATAGTCCTTACCAAAACCTTTCCAAGTTGTTTAATTTCTCACCTGCTTTGAGAAGCAATTTTCACACTTCACCACTGATAAGACATTTTTCGCTCTTTCCTTTTGGGTTGTTTGTCTGCAGATATCAGTCCGACCACCAAAGAAGACTACCAAATAAGTGTGGCGTTTAATGTGTGAAGCATCCTACTGCGTCCCCATTAAAAACAAATGACCACGGATCCGGCTCATGTGCACAGCTGTGGACCTCTGACTCACTTCCATTTAAAGCTCAAAAAGTAACCACTTCCCTGCAGCGTGCCATTCATTCAAACATTATTTTTTATAATTCCATTCTCAAATTTGGAGTTCATTTGGAGTTGCCAGTGCTACAGGCTGCACACTGCGAGCTGTTTAGAGGTTCAACTCTTTGTTCTTTTAGGATTTTGGATAAAAGAAAGTGCAAGGATGTTTTTCTGCTATCACCAGTAGCGATTTCAGCATCATTCATAGATCAGGTACTCCAGGGTGGCCAAAGACATTTCAGTGGTCAATTTTTAGTTATAATGAAGTAAACAAGCCCAAGAGTCGTGTGGTTGGGAGTGGAAGAGAGTGAAGAGCCACTGGCAAGTTACTACCAGGAGATATTAGTGTGATCAAATTATAGGTGACGAAAATGAGTAACTAACAGTATCTACCTCAATGCTTCATTATCACAATTTATCACAGTTTTTGAGTGGGAAGTCATTATTTATATTCAGTATGTGTTCCTTTGTGAATAAGACATTGAAGGTGCAATGTATAACTTTTTGGATTAGGGTGTTCGTCACCAGCTTTTTAGTCTGATTCATCAGCCGGTTTCACTTCGTAGAAACCGTCTGACCTAGGGTTCTTTCACTTGACTGTAGGTAAGTACTTTTTTTCATTTAGCCTATTCGGTCGTGATGTATGTAATGCACCGCTAACGGGGCAAACTGGTATCTTAAGCTTTTACCAAATCCCTTAGGAATAACGTCTTTCCCCTTGATAAAATTCAGCTTGTCACCATAGAGCTATTATTTATTTGCCTGGAATGTTCCACACTGTGGCATTAAATGTATCTATCTTGCAGTCATTTTAAAAAATGTATTAATTCCACCCTTGATGGAGACTAGTAATGCCATTCTGTGGAACATTCAAGGCAACACTTCACTATCTTCACAGATACAAGGAAGTGACCAATCATCCACCAGAAAAGTTACATAGTGCTTTTATAATTACATTTATACATTAGTACAAAAAGTAAACATACTATAGTTTTGACAAATGATTGTTGCATAATCAAATCTGAGTGGACGCTATCCTCAAATAGAGAATTCATATTATATAGGATTGAAACTCTGACCTTATTAGTCTCCTGATAGAATCCTGACATGTGTGGGCTCATTATTAAAATGCTAGATGGTTTCAAGTGAAATGACAATGAATGGACAAGTGAGGAGAGTTCAGCACAAACAAAAAATACAAAAATGAAGATTCCTTTTATGAACATTTGCTTGTAATCTTCTGGAAGCAAAGTTTTACAGGAAGAACACTGATCTGAAATGAACTATAAATTTCCAAAATGGCATTTCGAAATGTCACAGGTACTTTTCTTTTGTTTAGGATAATTGGTGAACATTGGGCTCCACCGGCAACCCTAATTTTATCTTTTCTTGATGTCTTAGTAAGGAGTTAAACTAAGCACTATTGCATCAAGTGCTTTTCATTCCGTATTTCAGACTCTTGGGTGGCCTCAAATGCCCTACACATTTTACAATCACTCCTGGACGGCCGTGCTATTGATAACCCCTGTCTAAAGAGTTGAAAATGCCTCATGGTCCTTGGGAGTTTGTAAAGGGCATTCACTGTTGTCAATGATTAAAACTGTGCGGTGGCATTCAGTGACTCGCTGTGATTTCTGGCCTGCATAGAGCCTTCTGTGATAAATACTTGGTGATAAAAGATTTGTGTTTCTGGCCATTGATCATCGCACCTGCAAAATGAAAAGGTACTTACTAGTAGCTCAATTCATAAGCACAAATTGAGAAATTCCTTAAACTATATTTCCAAATAATTGATTGGTTCATGTAAGGGCTTTCTGTCTCACTTATTGCACTGTATTGCATTTGCAACCGCCCAATTTAGTAATCCCAAAAGTTGACCTAGTTTTGTTCAAACTAGTAAAATAAAGATTTCAAGAACAGTTTGGAGATTGTGGAACACAGTAGACTTTATCAAAACTTGGGGCTGCTTGTGCAATTTGAGGTTGTGTCAGTACCTTAAAAAAACCTTTCCCCCTTTGATATGATGTATCTTGCTTTTTGTTCCATTTTATGTTTTATAGTGTTTAACCTAAAACTTTTGAGAGGTTTGTATAAAAAACATTATTAAAATTTGTATCTGAAATAGAAATTCAAATATTGAATGCTGAAGTACTGATACTGAAATTCAAAAATTATACGATGGTCCTTATTTATATCAGAACTATTATGTTTACTGAAAATAATTTTTTACATCCATTGTGGTATCAAAACCGGTATCGAGTATCAGGACTCCGAATCTGCCGAATCTGATGCCAAAATGAAAATAACACTATTTCTTTAGACAACAGAATGTCATTTTCAACATGATATAATAGTACTTTCTTTTTAAATTACCATGTGGCCTTATATCTGTGTAAACTGTGTAAACAGTCAGTTCATTTGGTCTTCCAATAATTTGTGTTATTAGGTTATTTTTTCAGATCAAGAGTTTGTTTTCATACCTGACAGTTTCAACCACCAGTGAGCAGTTGAAACTCTTCTGAAAAAAGAACCTAATAACGTAAATCCCTCACTTGTCCAGATAGTGGTCCATAGGCGTATACTAGTTTACGTGGCCTTATACTAATAGTTTTGATACAGCTCAACATCATTCTAAAGCTATTCAGGAAAGGTTCATATCTGGCCTGTGAATGTAACTTTTTAGTAGCAATAATTGCTCACACGAGTAGCTGATTTCGATACTTTTGACAACTTCTACATCTTCACAGAAAGAAAAACTGAAATTGTCTGTTTTCTGCTTTCCTCAGGCTTTGGTGTATGTGACTCACCTCTGGTATTGCTGGAGAGCCTCTTGCGCTGGCTGGTGGACGTGTTGTGGGGTAGCAGAGTGTTCTGTTGGTGGTTGCTGTCGATGGGACTCGTGGCAATGATATTGTCCTTGTATTTGTTCATCAGAGCCAACTTTGTGTTGTCACTCACTGCAGGCCGCAAAAGATACACAATCGTACAAAGCACAGTGAGCAAAGTAGGCTGTGCCCACACTGAAATAATAGTGCAGTTAGAAAAAGAAAACGAGCAGCTTGTGGACAAGTAATTAGCTACAAACTTAATTAAATTGTAACAAAAGGAACATTATCACTGTACATGTAACTCAAAGACAGCTAAGAGATCAATGAAGGTTTACAAGAAAGATTTGAGAATATCTGTGGGTTAGCCAGTCACAATTAGCCACAAGCTAAGTAGTGGTAATTCTCAAAAACTATAGGCTTTCTAGTTCTGATACCAGGTAATTTCTTTTCACCTAAAAACTCAAATGAAAATATTTTGCATGCAGTAGTTGTACTAACACTTTTATTTTCTAATTCACATTCAAAGCCAACATCTAAAGAACTGCAATGGCAATGAAAATTTTAGTTAACTTTCTTCCAGAAATTACTTATTTTGTCATCCAAATTCTGTTCACTTAACTTTTGTAGGAATAATAATTTGAATTATAATGAGCTGGAGCTATTCATTTACAGTCAACAAAATGTCTGATAACAAATATGAAAAAATAACTCATTCAGGTATGTGCTTCTTCAACATAATCAACATGTTTTTTTTTTTCCTTTTTTTTCATTAAAATACCTGATAAGCTGTGGCAAACAAATAAACAAAGCGTGATGAGCTTTGTGTGTGTAGGAAAGGTCAGTGGCGTCAGAAGTGACATCTTGCAGGTTTAATACAAATTACTGACTGACCTCTGCAGTGTTTGTGTGTATGAATATTCTATGCATAGGTCCACGCTTGCATCCTCCATTTTTTCCAGTCCATTGCACTAACAGCTCTCTTCTATCTTAAATGCATAATGCCCAGGATTACTGCTCTGTGAGGCGGGGCTGTCAGGCTTTAGAGGAGCACCGAGTGAGCGCTCTGTCATCATAAAGGATCTCAGAATAATGCACAGCCAAGAAGCGGCCCTCATTCACATTCAGAGGGGCACATGCTTCAAAACAACTTCGCTTCACAGACTCAATCCCAACAGGACAGCGCTAAACTCCACCATAACTTAATTATTTACTATATACTACTACTATAAAATGCTTGGCAGATGGAAAAGCCCTTTAATCACTGTGTGTTAGCAAACCCACAGGTATAAAACACAGAGTAATTATAGTGACATAAAAAAAAAATGTATTCATGTAACCTGATTATTCTTGTTCATGATGCTAATTGTTTAGAGACATGACACAAGGATCCAATTGTCATGTTGTTGTGTTGATAATTGCATCGCTATTTATCAAATTTCTTACATGTAGAACGTCATTAATATTAAATTGCTCCTATTCCAGCTGGTCCCAGGTGATGAGCTTCAGTCTCATAATAGCTCCATGGAGATGTTATTGCTTTGACTGGAATATTACACAGTGCTAAGACTTATCTATCTCCATGAAGACAAGAAGGTAACTCCACCAGTCTACAGGTGGAGGTACAGGTCCGATGTCCGTGTATGTTTTTAGCAATAAAAGTAATGCGTTAAATACAAAAGCTATGTTTAAGACCATAATGTGGAACATTCCAGGTAAAGCAATAATATTTTTGTGCAGATGGGTAGGCTGCCGATGTACCAGAAAACTCTCAAAGATGCAGTCTACCTTTGAGAGTAATGTAAAATGAAATTATTGTAAGTACATGTACAAAGTTGTAGTAAAAGTATTGATGATTTCTGATTGAGCTAGTCTTGTAAGGCTACATGAGTGATGAACTGAACCGCAACTTACTCCTTTCCTTTTTTATTCATGACTGACTGATGTTAGAGCCTGCTTTCTTCTCTTAGCTCCTTGCTCACATGCTCTTACCAGGCGTCAGGTCCATGTTGTTCTTGTCGTTGCAGCCCTGCAGTGAGTCCAGGGTGCGGGTCACCTGACTGGAGAACTCCTCCCCTCCGTTCATGCACTCCCTCTGCAGGTGGTGCCTCAGGTCAGTGATGTCGTACTCATACCTGTGACACAGCAACAGCCAATCACACTGACAGCATGTGGACCCCTGGGGAATGATTTCAGATTTAAAAAAAAAAAAAGATGAAACTGAACAGTATTTGAATCTAAAAGGCTCTTAGTATTATATTTTACATGCTATTGGCTATAATAGAAGAAAAAAAAACTGTTAGATAATATAGAGGGTACTCATAACTAGAGGGTACTCATAGGGTAAACAACACTTTGGGGGTATGCAAAAAAGGTTGAGAACTACTAGTGTTAGGGATGTAACAATATCCAAATCTCACGATATGATATTTTCACGATATACATCTCACGGTACGATATTTATTGGGATATTTTGTGGAGGCAAACAGAATTGTGAACATGCTACTTTTTCCTCTTGAAATGCTTTGACAAGACTTAATCCAAAGAGCTAATATTTATAAGTGCTTAGAACTGTTATTTCTTCATGTATTTTCCATCAAAACGGAGCAAAGGATCATGGTTGATGTCGTTTTTTTAGCTATTGCTGCACCATAACAATGAATTTAAGCAAAGAAACGTGTGATTTGATATATTGTGATGGTCCACGATATTACTGAGACCTTTTTATTGTTAACCTCCTAACTAGTGTAGCACATAAATACCTGCAAATACTGGTAGAATGATTCCCCGTGTCATCACTACAACTGTTACTGTGTCATTGGGCAAGACATTAAAACTAGGATGCATAGACAGACCACTACCAGTGTAACAAATCAGTAAATAATGGCTGGGCAATATAACTGTTCTTATTAGTAAATCAGATTCAAATGTATGCTGTGGGTCAAATGTCTATAATGTCAGTGTTGTATTTACATTCTACATAATCTGTTGTTCATGATGATGATAAATTGTGCATTATTATATTGTGTGTGTTTTTGTGTGTACATGCTCTGAACCCTACTTGTACCCATCCAGTATGGGAGTCTCCCTGATGCTCAGAGTCCCGCTGGAGTTGGGCCCCTGTCCTCTGGAGTTCCGGAGGCTCTCGCGGGCCTGTCCCCCCATCAGCACAGACGGGATGTAGTGGATCTCATTAGCCGCCTCTGCACTAGCGCTCTTCTGGGGCTGGGGGATACGGCGACGTTTGCACCAGCGCCTCCTAGTGTACAGGATGAGGACCAGGCACAGCACGGACAGTAGAAGGGCTATCATCCCACCCTAAGAAGACACAAGTGCAGACAACAAAGTCAGTCTAGAACAACAACGCACACACCCAAGATTATTATATGTTATTTAAAGTTGCTCTGAGTAACTTTCTGGTGGTGCATATGCTACCTTGTTACCATGGAGATATTTCTAAAAAATCAAACTGGCATTAATAATTAGAGATGCTTTCGCTGCTCAAAACCACATTGAAAACTATTCTTACTGTGAGCGTGGTCACTTCTCTATAAATCTGATCTGTAACTTGGCCTCATGCATATCTTTAAATTTAATGCCATACAGTGGAACATTCTAATCTACACCAACATCTTCATGGAGACAAGCAGCTGGCTGACCATCCACCAGAAAAGTTTAGTTAATTTTGTTCATTACTGGTGAAAATAGTGCCAAGTCCAATGGATCTGTGCTGAGACGCCAAAGGTAAAAGTCAATATAAAAGGCAGGTTAGAAATGCACTTAAGCCAATAACACCTACACTGTTTAAACGCAGCTCTCATGTTACTCTAGCCAGTGCAGTCAGTTCACCTTCAGGGGTTGGCCATTAAAACTTTCAGCTTTTCAACCCAACACATTTGTATCTCTAATGAAGTCTGCACTACTTCACTTTTAGAGGTTTGAACTCGCTGTGACCAAAGCTGGAATAATTCTGCTAAATAATTGTGCAGAATGAAAGTAATCACAGAGCTCCATGATGAAAAGTACATCAATTTAAAAGAGTGTTTGTAAAAGTCTTGTCATTTACTTCTCAATAAGCACATTTGAGGGAATTAAATGAAGCTGTGCACTGATTTCTAAATAATTATGATTTGTCTATCATTTGTTTTTGTGTAAATATTTCACCTTATGACAACGGACTACATAACTACTACTACTTCAATCTATTTGCTGAATCTAATAATATACTAAGTTTGATTAAGATACTGGAACCCAGAGAAAAATATTATATGTTTTTAAAAGAAGATTTACTTTTTTTTTGTATGTGTGTTTTGCCATGTGCGTATTTCACTCTTAAAGGTGCATTGTGCACCTTTTCTGGTGGAGGATGCACTACCTATCTCTATGGAAATATTATTACTTTGCCTAGAATGTTCCATGGTATAACTTTATACATATCCATCTAGCATTTATTCATTACGAGTGTTTCTATTGCTGAGAAATACGTGATTAGGGGCAACTCTCCACAGATCTGGAGATGCATTTTAAACTTTTTTTTTTTTTTTCAAACTATGGTTAAGGGTTTTATGCATTTTATCTTTATTACTGTTCCTTAAGACAAAAAGGTTGGGTTTTTAGCAATACCATTTGTAATAAAAAAAATAACAAAAAACAAAACTGTTGCTTGAGGATGTCAGTCAATTCCAGTTAAATCCAAACTGTAACAACAAATTAAAATCATTTAGTTTCATCCAGTGCAGTTTTATTGTGGTTGACTGGGTTAGGTCACACAGCCACTTTAATTTGCCCCCATCCTCTGTCATTTGAAGTATTTATGTGTCAGTTCTGGGTGTTGGAGGTCTAACCACTCGCGGCTGTGAGAAGAGGCAGTAGACAGACAGATATGGGTCATGCACTTTAGCAGCTGGAGGACAACAAGGACACAAAAAGACCAAAAAAAAAAGTGAAATTCTGACAGTCTGTCCCAGCACATGTGGCTTGATATGACAGGGAGGAGAAGGTACTCAGCAATGGAGAGATATAGAGACAGGCAGCCTTTGTCAGACAGAATATCACTAAATAGTAGCTCGTGTACAAGGCAGATTTATGTTGTTTAAGTTCAGTTTTATGACTATTTGAGTTTTTAAGCAACTTTAAACAGAACAGGAAGATGGAAGATGACACAGACAGATTATGGATTTCTGAAGGATGTACAGTAAATGATGTTGTTCTGCTTTTTGTTTGTTTTGTTTTAATTTTTTTGTTTTATTTGGACAAATGTGGACTGGAGAAACACTACTGCGACATTATTTTAGTCTTAAGGCATCAAGGCAATGTGGCTATTTTCACATAAAAAAATTATCACTTAAAGTTTCCACATTATGCAAAATTGACTCTTGTGAGCTTTTAGCAGTGTTACAGCGTTGTTACCTCCTCAAAAACACCCCTGGGGTTGTGTTTTGTTTCATTCACACATGTCTGAGTACCCCTTATTATTAGTTTGTCTACAGCTCCAAAGTTTAAATGGTCTGTTCCACCTTGTGATGTCATGTACTGTAGTGGTAGTTTCAAGTTAATGGCTGTCTTTTACCTTTAGTTCAGCAGAGCAATTTCAGGGCTGAGTAATTCTTGTGAAGGTGTAGGGACTTTAAAAACAGTGGCGCTCTACCTGTATTACCACATGATGACATCACAAGCTGGAGCATGGATGAGTTCTTCTTTCTTCTTTCCATTTGAAAGAAGAACTTACCTTAAATAAGTAGGATTTTTGTGCAAAACACCAATTATCCTTTTTGTCAACTGTCAGTGTCAGTGGTCTTGCTTATTTGGTGGATTCGCAGGCAACCATCAACTCTCACATTAATTTAGTTTGAATAACCAATACCCCAGGCACATCCCTTGGGAAGTTATATTGTAAAAAACATGACAATTCCACATAAAAATGCATTTCTTTACACCATATACTAGTATATTCACCAGCCACCAAAAACTGTATCCACCTTATTCCACTGCTCCTACTTTTACTTTTGACTGCTACCAACCCACACGTCTGTTGTGATTGGCACTAAATATAAATCCAATTCATTTCAATGGAGAAAAAAAGAAAAGTCTCACTGCATACTATTGTTTATTCTGGATCCCCATTAGTGCATTCAGTATGTCGTTATATATTTTTCCTATAAATAACTACATGTTCTGTCAAGAGCGGAAGCCTTATGGAAAAACATACAAGCGGAAGGATAAAGGTAGTGTCCATGGCAACTTCCAGATTAAGGTGAATCATTTCTTTTTCTCAGAACAGAAGTAGATTTAATGTTAAAAGATTATATGAAAAGCTCTTGTGTAAAATTAGACCTGAGCCGCCTCCAGCCATGTGCACCTGTCGCTGCTATGCACTTCAGCTGACAATAACACAGTTCCAGCCCTATTCCCCTCTCCTATCAGGGCGGTTATTGTGAAAAAATAACAAATTGTTACAAAGCGATAAAAGGCAATTGTTCATTCACAACAGAAGAATTTAAAATGGAGGAGGAGAAAAAAAGAATGCGCGTCTTTTCAGTCAAAGTTATGGGCCGATAAGCAACGAAGATGAAATGAGAAATGGATTTTAATCATTGATTTACATACACAATCCCCTCTCAGAGTGTGTGAATAGAAAATAGGCTTTCATAGGCTCACATTGATTTAAATGAACAGAAAAAAAGGTGCATTTGCATAGCTTGTTTGCTTCATCTGCATAGTCAAGGGCATAAAGCAATAGAAATATGATAAAGGCCAATTATAGTGTTAATCTGCATTCACGCTGGTCAATGGGGAGAACAAACTCATTATGTTTGGAAAATATCTGTTTCAGTAGTTTCAAAGTCAACAAGACAAGAAAATAACTTTATTGCTGTTGTCTCCTTGACTGACTTAAATGCAATAATAAACAACAACATGTTTGGTGTTTACGCTTCTCTGCCTGGAATATGATTTTATGATATGATTTGAATTTGTGATCAACTGTGACCCAACCAATAAAACAACAGAAAAGTTAGGATTGTGTCGTCACACCTAATAATAACTTTTTGCCCCTCAAAAAAATCTATAAAAAAATATAGAATCTAGATTACAAGATGCCAAAATACCTGACTTTTCAATCAAAATATTTATTTATTGTTAAAATGTGTTCATCAGCGAAATTGGGTTATTCCATGGCATATGCAAAAATAACATGGCCTGCGTTTATTTATGTATTTTTATTTTCAGTCTTGAGCTCTATATCATGATGAAGGAAATTGTTATCCTTGGACCAATGAAATTGAAGAATGAAGTTGACATTTTGCTCGGGTCACTTTGTTATGCATCTCATGGTAAGATACTTATTGCAATATTTTGAAGAGGCTGATATATTTGTAGATTAGACACTTTTTTTGCTTTTAAAATACCTTGACAAGATTTTGGTGTGAATTATTACCGTCATAATCCCAAGCATTCAAGTAAAAAAACATATTTCTTCATGTTGTTTGCACTGAAATCAATCATGGGATATGTAGTTCCCTATGTTTATAAGCTGTTGCTACTATAAAACCATGCATTTAAGCAAAGGAACTTATATGATATATTGTGAGACTTTTGATGATACGATATCACGATATTTCGGTTATTGTTGCATCCCTAGTTACTACGTGGCTACATACTGACTTGTGATTACTGAATCAGCCAGAAAACAAATAATTATAATTTTTTATGAATCAAATGTAAAAAATAATATATATTTTCCCTACGTCCCATTAGGTCAGTCACGATCATTACTTACCATTCAGTGAAAGCTGGACAAATATATTCTGGGGTTCAATATTTATCATGTGTATTCATCATTCATCATTTTCACCATTTTTATGTAATAAGGTAAGATAAGAGCTGTAGATGTAAGAATAAGTCACCTCTATGGTTAATTATTGCTTCATTCTGCTATTTATTTGTTGCAGTTCATGTCTTTTAATGATACTGTTTATTTATTTTACCACGATTATTCTACTTTGTATCAGTGGCATTAAGTAGTTTCAATATTATTGTTTATTGCAATATCTCTCTGTAGCTATATATCATGCAAAAAATCAATAAAAGATAATGAATGAATAGCTAAACACAAAACCGCCATATTCTTTCCTTCCGTTCTGAACTTGAAATGTCAGACACTTCAAATGTCTCTCAATCAAATCTGAGCCGATGACAAATGTAATCTAAAGCCATCACTGTGCATTAGTGGCCGTGCGTTCAGACGGCTAACACAGACGCTATGGAAAAAGCTGTTTAATGTCCGCTATTAGGCCAATCAAAGTGCAGCTTAAGTGGAC